GACAATGTAACAGCTTAGGTAGTTGCCAGATGTTGTCTATCAAATGTAAAAAATCGTCTCCATGTCTGTAATAACATTTGATTAGTTTCAAATGAGTAAGTTGAGCAAAATTAGAGGATTCTGTTAAAATTGCAGTAATTTTTTCAATGGAAACAATTCGAATCAGTGAAAGCGAATATAAATGAGTGAATTGATTGAAATTGAAACCGTAAGTAAGAAAATGGTCAAAGAGATTTGGAGTCTCGTCATCATCACAAAGACAAAGCGAAGTAACTCGATCAGTAAGTGATGGTAAATACTGTTGACATACTAGATCGAAATTATGTTTTGACAGTGATCGAAAATCAAAATTATAGTTTCTAAAATGGACGAGAAGCAATATATTGAAGCGATTATTGAGACCATAAAAAGTATTGAAGAGATGAACGCCATCAAAAAATTCGAATAGTTCAAGCAACACGTCATTAGCCAATGATTCCAATTGCATCTTGTTTTCATGTAGAGAACAGAATGATATAATGATGTTGTGCGTTTTTACAGGACAAGTAAGAACAACAGTTTTTCGTTACCATTGTGTGTGTTTTCGTTCTTCAATGGATGCGAAAAAAGGTGTAGCGATCATTGAAATTTGTTTTTTTTTATGGGATTGACGATGAGTCAATGATGAGAAAAATATTTTCTTTTTATCTTGAATATTTTCTTTTCTTCACTTTCAAAGTTTTATTTTAAAGTAGTTCGAATCGAATGAATGAAAGCAAAACATTTTTTATTGTTCTTTCACATCACTATAGAATTTCGAACAGTAAGAAAATTTCATCGTCATCTACAAGTGCAGGTTGGTGATAGATATACACCTCGACAGTTTTATGTCAACAACTATTTGCTTCTTGTCACATGTTTTAATCAAGTTATCTTATTCTGTCTACTCTTCAAATTCACTGAAATTATTGTTGAATTTTCTTAATTGGGTACACGTGGAACAGTTTCCTATTTTCTTATGGTCTCCGAACGATCGAATAACTGCTTGACAGGTTGGATTGTCTTTCATCATCTTCCAATAATACTCTTTTCAACTTCATCTTTTACGAAAACCTTCCTCTAGTTATTGAAATAAATTTTCTCACATTGACCGTCGTCTGTGAGATACCTGTACATGAAATAATCTATGACATATCTATCTCTTTTCATTCTTCACCTAAATCAACTATAACACATTCTTGGTAGTTCTCGTTGCACGAAGTCAAGTAAAGATCATTATAAATAAATATTTGTAGATTATGTCAAAACGCTTAAATATCTTGGTGCAAATATTTCCATGCAGTTCGACTGGAGTAGACACACTAATGAGCGTGCGTGTAACATCAGGAAAGTGTATCAATCGATTCCACTTATGTGTCGCTTAACTCTTCGAAACAAAATCGAGTTCAGTATCAGATTTAATAATCAACAGCGAATGCAGATGTGATTGTGTGTATTGCTGAAGAAATGTTGTACACTCACACCCTCATATTCATTCGATAACAATCAATTAGCTAGTTTGAGTATCCTGTAAAACATGCGTTCTGTGACGTTTTCTGATTACAATCATTTTTATTGATAATACAGTTTTCAATCATGCTGATAGACTGATTACATTCTGTTCCAAAATTTAATAAATTGCAAAAAACAAGCAGCGTAAAAAGCTCTTTGAACTAGCAATTTTGGATCATTTCAAAGTTAATTTTTGTAATTTGAATCATAGATCATTTGTTTCCAAATCGAACTAAATATTATTAATGGACTTGTTCATAATATGTCTTCTGAACTTGTTGATTTCTTGAAAATATTTTTCCATGAATATTTTCATTCTTAAGAACTGAAACATGAATCAAGACTAAGGATGGATGTGGTTGCCACTATCAGTATTAATTCGACTCAAACTCAACTATAGATATACCCCACACCGACACGCACACCAGTGTTGCAACTGGTAATGGTAAACGGTCGATTCAGTCCGGTCAAGTATTCCTTATTGGGTGATATACCGGCCGGTCTAGATTTTTTTTTTCAATTTTTTCATATTTATTTTTCAAAATATCGATCATAGAGGTGTTTATTTATGCATAGCAAACTAATTTTATGGCACCAATGACTATTTTTACCCAGGAACATGAATTAGAATATTTATATTAAATTAATATTCATCAAAAAATATCTACTATATTTTATCCAATCACTTCGATGTCAAGTTATTGCTTCGAAACCAAGTGGAATCACTGTTTGCTATTGTAATTTGTCATATAATTGATTTCATTTTGCATGATTTATACAATATCTTGCTCAGAGACGAAAGGGATAGCAAAGAGAACCTGTTAAGAGAGGCAGAGTATATCTATAGTCGCCTTGAAATTTCTATGTCTAATGAATATTTCATTAATAAGGAAAGCTGGCACAGAATATGAGGTCCTCTGAAGTTTTATATGTATCGATAGTTGTCAAAACAGAGAAAGCTTATGGAAATGTAAAGAACAAGTTTTCAGTGCAATATCTACAGAATTAAAAGACTAAACACGATGGAGCTACTGTAATTATTTTTGGAAACCAAGGGGAAAATTTCATCATCTAAATGGCAGACCATTATTAGACCAAAAGCCAGCATGTTGAAAAATCTGCTAAATCGCTTCAGATATAATAATCTTTGTCACTACGTTAATAGGGCATCTACATCTTGGCAGCAATTTGCAAAGCGAGCTGTGAAGATGGAAGCAATGGCCTCGTCATGTTCTTCAGCCAAGATGGAAACAACTGTAACTTTCTCTGTGAAGTTCCAAGAACTTAATATAAAATATTTGGCTACGGTTGAGAAATTTTTCATTTTTTTTCTCATATTCTTTTTTCGTATTATCAAAATAATCCAAGAAAGATACATAAATATATGCAGTACAATCACTTCTTATTCATTAAGTAAAAACAAAAATATTCGCCGTTACTCTATTCATATACTAATACATTACATATGTATGGTTTCAATCCTTATGAGAATCGAGAACTGGCATCTGATACGTGAGTTCAACGAAATATTCTCGGCGCCATAAACAGTGAGAATTACAAATTGTTATTTTTATAAGCTTTCTACATACATCAAAAGTAAAAATCGAAAACGCTCAATTTGTTGAAAAGTCGAACATTTTTCTTCTATCAATGAACAGCGAATTTCTTCAAAGTTATTTTGAAGTTTCTTGTGAATTTTATCTCAAGTAATGTCTTTGAAAAATTTCTTTGATATAGATAGATATATTCTTGTAGAGCTCGAAGCGCTCTAGCGAATCGTGTAAACATATGACAAAAACAATTTTTCTTGACTTCTCAATGACTGTTGGCTTTTATATTAGTTTGTTATTGTATTTAAATTTTAGTATACTTTATTTTTCTTCTGAGACTTAATTCGACCTTCTTGAGGGTGTGTGTATGGGTATAGACGGGGAAAGATCCACACCCACACCCTAAAAAGATTTACCGATTCGAGAAAAACTCTCACCGATCCAATGTTACAGTAGTGCACGTCATTACTACAAAGATAAATGTTTTAGCTACAAAATTGTTTAACGTCAGACGATGCATACACTGAATCGAATTTCGATGAACCAAAAAAAGAATAAAGTATTGAATCCTATAAAGTTCTTTTTTTCTGATGTAATTGTATAAATATACTCGGTGAGTTTGCAATGGAGAAGTCTGAAAAAATGTCATGGGATTGATTCAAATGGTATATACAGTAGAAGTTTGTTCATGAATTATTTGTATTTTATAAGATATAGGTTAGTATTGAATGATAAACAGAAAACAAATGTTCAACAAGAAATTTTTTCTAAAGATAATTAAGATTATTATCATAATCGTGAGCAGAATCTTGTCGCAGTCTTTTTAGAAGATTTTCATTGTCACCTGCATAATAAATCGATGCTGTAGAACCATTAGCGGATTGAATATTAGCATTCACTTTTTGGCAATGTTCCGCATGTCTCATCATACTATCTATATTACTAAGATTACCACACTGTGGACAGAAACATGAATTGCCACTAACTTGACTTCCTTTATTCCTTGATATATCATCTTTTCGATCTCGATTCTCAAGACGGTTCTGTGGCTTAATATTAACAGGTGGACTGACACGACGACATCTGTCGTTAAATTGCTCAAAGCGTTCATGGGTACGTGTTCCTACACCGTTATCGTTATCATATGAATTTGGTATTGAACGGTTAGCTATTCTGCTTGATGTTTCGTGAAGCATTTTATCTGAATTTCCGTAGGAAACTGTCGTCATAAAACCATTAGAAGATGCAAACGAGCGAGTCATGCATTGTCAGGTTTCCAAATGTTGCATCATGTCTGCTTCTACCAACTGACATCTACAATGAGGACCATTAATCTGATGATTTCTTCTTTTCAGAATCACTCAGAGGAATCGTCAAAAATTCGTTATCACCATTGTCCATGTAACTCATTGGTCTAAAACGGATAAAAACAATTAAAATATACATCTCTATATATATCTCCGTGAACTACGTGTTAAGTGGCAGAAATCTTAAATATAGGGAGTCGAAAACATGTATTGACGACGCTAGAGAAACCAATACAAAAGCTTCCTGAATATTTCTATATGATATGTTACATCACTTCATATATACGGATGTGAAGTAACATTAAAAGTCAGCTAATCAAAAGTATTCCGACGTTTCTCAAGAAGTAATCTCGAACATTTTCATTTTCCTCAATCCTCAAAGGTTCTCAAGGAATTTAACGAATATGTACTTACTTATTGATGGTTGAGTTTTCGAATAAGAAAGTTTTCAATGATGACTTACACTCAAACTATATTGACTTCCTCCCATTATACGTACGGACATATATAGATTTGAAATGGAAAAAACCTCACTGACAATCATCTTGATTTCAAATTAAGCAAAAGCCAATAGGATTTTTTTTTTCGCTTGCGTCAAAAGAAAGCAATACTAAACTTATTTTTATTTCATAAAGGAATTATGGAAAAAAACATGTTCATCCTTATTTTTTCCTACATATCTATTCATGGAATGCTTCATCATTATGATGAAACAAAACAAAGTTTTTTCCTCTTATTATGATATACATATATCTGTCTGTTTGTATTATGCTTGTTTTGATTCTGTCATCTAGTTCCTATGTAAAAAGAAAAGAAAAAGATAATAATCAATACGAGAGTGACTCATAATGTCTATCAATTATATGTAATTAGATGTTTTTTTTCTACTGATTTACTTTGCAAAGAGCATGTGCAATAACAAAAAATGTAAGCAATTCTTCCTTGTGAAATTTGTTTACAAAATCGTGAACAAGTCAAAATTATGAATACAAGCATTGAGGGGTCTCGAAACTAAGGATTATATTAAATGAAAATAAGTGTTAATTTGTTCTTAGTTTTACATTCAGATGGATATAACTTTAAATGTTTTCATAACAAGGATAAGAAAGAAAATTCATAATGAATTGAATATTTGGAATAGCATTATTAACTATTTTAGTAAAGCATGATGGTGTGAATTGAAATTGTTCATTATTAATTTGATCTATAAATTTGACCTTATTCATTAAGTTTCCGTTTTACTTTTTCGTCAGAATGAGGAGAAAAAAACATGGTAACTCTTCCAGTATGATACACCGATTTGAATAAGTCAAAAAATATAGTATTCATGTATCAGGTTTGTGCAAAGTTACATTTATTCTTTTTTGATCGATGAAATTGCACTCATCTTATTTGAAATGTTTTCAACAAAAAGTGAGTTTGCTCGATGGTATGTCTCCAGACCGGCTGCTTAGAGGGATTTGATGTTGACTCTAGCGGCGACTAAAAGTCTGACTGAAGACCGATCTGAATTTCATTTCTGTACTCGATGAACACTTATCACATAAGATAACAGAGAAACAAAATTCAAATGAAGCTTTTTTTGGTAAATAAAACGCTTGTGAATGCAGCCGCTTTGGACTGAAATATAGAACTCACATATCTTCTTTAGCTTCATATTGAGAATACCAAGTAGACACAGTGAAAAGTCTTTGAAAGGCTATATTTTTTCAAATTATGATCGATTATTAAAAAATGATGCCGTTTTTGTTTCTACATTTCGCATCGAATTTTTTCATTTTCGTTTTCTTACAGACGCTCGATGGCTCGTTTTCGTTGTTGCTATTTGCTCGTCATTTTCCATTTTCGTAATTCTTTTTTTCTTTTGTTTTCACATTTTGATTATCGTAAAGGTCCAAATAAAAGGCAAATATGGCTGTTATAAATATCTATTATTTAATCCCATGGTTTCAAGTCTGTAATGGGAGGAGGAAACTGGAAACTTTTGGACATAAAACTTACTTTATTATTTAATGAGCAATCGGATGAAATTTATCGTGAGAATAAAGGACGCAAGTCAAAATTTAATTTATTTCTTTTTTTTATATCGGTTTATGTGTTTTCATTAGCAAGAGGTACAAATTTCATTAAATTTAAATTTGAATTAGATCTATCGATGAAGACTTGATTAGTAGAACGATGCAAAAAAGGTTTATTTCACTTTTGAGTTTAGAATTTTTTTTCTCCTTACTTAAAATAAAACCATCATAGTACTTTGACAAACGATAATCGAGGTTGTATATTTTTTATCTTTTAGACAAACATTATCGAAATGAGTTGGAAGGCTCTAGAAAGATTCTAGAAGATCGAATCATTTAGCTTAGTATGAATGACTTCCAATTAAGGACGAGCAGAATTCATTATTATTTCGTGAAGCGGTAAACTCTAGATTAAAATATGATTATTTTTGCCTCATGTGAACTGCTGATTTTAAGCTAAACAGGACTGATCGTATCCTCTTCTGTTGTTGATCAAATGATTGTTTATAGACATATCTGAAGGACTAGTTTTACTTTTTGTAAAACAAATGAAGAGAAGAGTATACTTTCTGGGTGTAGATGTCATTCCTCTCTTTACTCACACCCACACCCTATTTTTTGACGAAACAACGTTTTAGGAAAAAAACTCGAAGTCACATGTCACAAAAGGTCTAATTTCAGTCTAACTATCACATTACAGATTATTGTTTCAAGCTTACTAGTCTTATTTTATAACGAACGCAAGTCATTATCGAAGAGCAATTTAAAGATCAAAACTACAATGATTTCTACTCCGCTGGTATATACAAGGCTTCTTTCGAAGAACATGCATCGTTCTCCTGTAAACAAAATCAATTAAAAACTTCATTTTACATAAAAACATGTGATCAATGATAGTGAAGACTCTCTCCAATCTATAATGCCCAAATAACATTTCAAAATCGATTACTTTGTTCTTCATTTCACTCTTTCGGTTTTATCTTTTCTATTTATTGCACAGATTTTTATTTCTTTATTGTAATCACATACAATCGTTTGTTTGTCCATACTTAATAAAAGGATGATGAATTTATTTACGTTAACCTGGCTTTTAATATGTATTTCTGGCATCGTATATTCACAAATTACAATACGCAGTTATGTTATCTAAAAGCATTTGCTTGCTGATGTGAAAAAGCGTGAATTCGATATTTTCGACCAAACAGAAAATAATTTGCAATACTATATCGAAGCTCGCCGTAACTTTGGGGAAGCTATTGAAATCATCGCTTCTCCATCGAAACAAGTTGCCGGCAAGTTGAAACGTGAAATCTCTTTTATGTACAAAGCTTCGATTTCGATACTCGACCCACATTCCAACCGATGAATAGATGGAAAAATCAAACGAAACGTGCGATTGTTCGATAGTAAATATATGATTGAATGGAACGGAGAACGAATATCAATGAAAACTAGAGTTGGTACGCGATCAACTGATTTTTTCGATGAAATAGACAAAAATCGAGTTGCTGAATTTCAAAGGCGATTATTATCATTGATAGCACCTAACAAGTACGATTTAAAAATCGACACTAATAAGGTACCAGATGCCGTCTTTTTCTTGATAATGGCAGTTCACGATTACCAATTTAATAAACAGTGAAACACATAAACGGAAACAAATATCGTCATGGCACATATTTGATTTAACTAGCTCTTCTTATGCACCTATAATTACTGTAATTCTATTTTCTTTTGTAGCGAATGAATCTTGCGGATTAAAGTGTATATTTGGATGATGAATAATGTATTTTCCTCTATTTTTTACATGGTGTGATGTAAATACCAGAATATTGAGATACAACTCACGTAAGGGAAATTTATCAACTTTTTTCTGCGAGAAACATGTTTCAAAAATCGATGCTTTTCTAAAATGAACTCGCTACCAACATCACAAACATTATAAATTCTTAGATAGAAATGACTTCATTAAAATGAATTGATTGTATATCGGTTTATTTTGATCCTTTGTCAATTGAAGAGCTGTAAGAAAGTTTAATTCGAATGTATGGATCAGAATCGTTGAGTACTTCTCTATGATGCAGACGTTAACTAAAGCGCAACACTCCAATATTCATACATCGAAGCAAAAAATTCAGAAGATTACTACAATATCTGTTTGAATTTTAAACTGTTTTATTTTGATAATAAGCATAGAAGCAGATCAAAGTCATTTATGCACGAACTTTATACGAATTCATTTCTAAAAATAATCATTGTCATCGCAGCTGCTCCTTCAAATGAGTAATATACTATTATATTCTCATAGATACCTCTTTAATATACATTCTCAAGATATTGTTTACACCAGAAGAAAAATTATTTTACAAACTATGTTTGAGAAGTAGTTTATGAGTTTTGTTCAAACGCGAGTTCTTCTGGTAAACGGCTATTGGTTTATCGATGTCACTTTTAGTAAATTGTTCAGGTGCTTAACAGCATTTTCGCGGAGGATTATCTGATTCCATTCATAAAGTTACTAATTCTGCTTTAGCTCTTCTCGGAAAGGGTGTCATAGTTAACGCCACGGATCAACACAAAGAATGAAAAACGAAAAAAATTCTCTAAAATATTCCTTCCATATTGATTTCCTTCTTTTCTAGCGAGTTTTCACGAAAACTTGTAGAGTTCAGTTGCGAATAATTTACAGTCCAATCGAACGCCACCATGGGTGGGACACAAGTTGATTGATTTTCCCTTACATCTCATAGAATTCGACATACATAGAGGTCGTACGACATAATGACATTAACTGCCTTCGACTTGAAAACATTTCAATAATACGACCATATTTGAATATCCTTTGACTTGAGAGTGTGTGTGTGTGATGTA